CGACGGGCTGATCCCCCTGCCCGGTCTGTCCATCTCCATGACCAGGTCCGCGCCGCCGGTCACCCACTGTTCCATACAATCTCGAGCAAGGTCCTTTTGATTTTGCAGAAGCGTGTATACGTTGACTTTTCCACGACACCTCCTCGCACTTCCTGCCGTTACACAGCGGGCTCCAAGCCCAACATCCCCGCCGACTTCCATCCATATAGAACGATATCTTGCACGACTAATTCTTCGCCATGTATCCCAACGGCGCCCAGCGCCATGACCCCTCACGGTCTTTCGCCGTGCCGCCGCCACCACCGCTCCTGTCGCCGCCGATGCCCGGCCAGACGGGCAACATGATGTCCATCCCACCGCCGCCGCCGCGCTTCCCCTCAGCCCCCGCCAGCACCACAACCGGCGGCGCCAACATGATGCTGCCCCCGCCGCCCGGCCCGCCACCGGGACCGGGCCAGACGTCATGGCACAGCGGCAACTTTGGCCGCATGTACGACGCCCGCGGCGGCTTCAGCATGCCACCGCCGCCCCCGGCATCCGGCCAGCAGCAGCACCAGGCCTACAACCCAAAGTTCCACGCCCAAATGGCCGCCGCCGGCGCCACCATGTCGCTCCTGCCGCCGCCGCCCCCCGTGAGCAACGAAATGTCGGCAACCTACATCCCCTACGGCGAGACGTACGGCGAGGGCGTCGGCATCCCGGGGCTCGGCGGCTTCGACGACACGGCGACCTACTCGGCCACGTCGCAGAGCTCGTGGCCCACGACGGCCGACTCGTCGCTCCTGACCATGACCAACACAACGACGACGCCCTCGGACGACGCCGCCAACAAGTTTGCCCGCGGCATGTCGACGACGTCGAACCCGACGGCGTCGTCGAGCGTGCCCTTTGACCTCGCCCAGCAGTGGCCCATGGACAAGGTTCTCTTCTGGCTTGACGCCAACGGTTTCTCCAAGGACTGGCAGGAGACGTTCAAGAGCCTCAAGATGCACGGCGTCAAGTTCCTCGAGGTCGGTGGCGGCCACGGCGGCCGCGGCAACTTTGGAATCATGCACCAGCAGGTCTATCCGGGCCTCGCCGTCCAGTGCACCAAGAGCGGCACCGGCTGGGACCAGACGCGCGAGCGCGACGAGGGCAAGCGCATGCGCAAGCTCGTCCGGAGCATCGTCACCGGCAAGCCCGTCGATAGCGGCACGCGCGTCTCGTCCTCGTCCCATGCCCGCAAAGAGTCCCTAAATTATGGAAGCAATAATCTGCCTAGCGCCGGCACCGACCCGGCCGACTCGCCCATTAAGATGCCCGGCCCCGGGTTCGCGTCCCGTCGCTTCTCCAACCACAGGGCCACCACCATGCCCACCCTCAACAACGGCACCATGTCCTCCGACTCGAACCACAGGACCCTCCTCAAGAGCGCCGACAGCGACAGCCTCCGCCGCCACAGCCCCAGCTCCACCGACGCCGAGCGCCGCACCGACAGCCCCCTCGAGAGCCCCAACCCGCACCCGCAGCCCCAGCCTCTCTTCGCCCAGTCGACAGGCGCCCTCTCGGCCTCGCCACGGACCACGAAATTCGGCCACCGCTACCGCAACAGCACCGACTCGGTCTCGTCGAACCTCGCCATCTATGGCTCTGGCGTGCCGCCCGGCGCGAGCCAGCTGCTGCGGAGTGGCAACCTCAACGAGATAATCTCCACGAGCCCGCGGGACGGCCCCAACGGCGGCGGCAGCCGTCCCTCGCCGCAGGACTCGGGCTCCGAGCCCCCTTCGGCCAAGGACCCCAAGAGCAAGTTCAGCTTCCTGTCGCGCAAGAAGAAGCAGCAGCAGCGCGACGACGGCACGCTCGCCAGCGCCCACGACGACTTTGAGTCGCCCACGTCGCCCAACTACCTCTTCAAGGTCAACTCGTTTGGCTCCAAGAGCGGCAACGCCAGCGACGGGTCGCCCGACCTCAGCCTGCACCCGCCTTCGAGCTTCGGCCTGCCCGACATGACGACGTACGAGACCCAGGCCCAGTCGCCGCGGCAGAGAATCTTTGTCCTCGCCACCATGGACGGCTGGAACTACCGCATGTGCGACATTACCGACGGCGAGACCCCGACGGAGCTGCGCCAGATCATCTGCGCTGGCCTCGGCCTCATGGACGCCCAGACGACGCAGCTGTACACGACCGAGCTTGGCGTCTTCAACCACGACGAGCCGCTCGACGACCAGCGACTGCTTACCCAGAAACAGCACAAGGCCGACGCCGTCGGCACCCTCAAGCTCTTTGTCCGGCCCTCGGGCTACATTGCCCAGGGGCCCATCGACCCCAACGGCGTCCCGGCGTCGCTCGCGCCCGGCACGCCCATGGACACGACGTCGTCATCGGGGACGCACGACCGCCTGAACGGCCCGCGCACGCGCTCGTCGTCGTCGCCGCCGACGTCGCGCCAGAACACGGTCAGCGGTGAGCGGCCCGACGGCAAAGCTCTCGCGCAGGAGGCCAGCGAGTACCGCGCCGAGATGGAGCGCAAGCAGAGGGAGTATCTCGCCAAGCGCCGCCAGGTGGCTGCCATGAAGGACAACCCGTCGCCCGACACGGGCACTGCCGGCGGCTACTACGGCATTGCGGGTCGTAGCGTTGACTTTGACCAGCCGCGCAACTCGCCGTTCGAGGAGAAGAAGCCCGACCAGCTCTTCCCCGCCCGCAAGCCGCCCGCCCCGCCGAGCGACCCCTCGGCGACCCTCATCAAGGCCAACTCGCTGAGCAAGAAGACGGGCCACCAGCTGCGCACGTCAACGGGGTCCGACGCCTACCACCACGCCCGCAGGCCGTCGACGCTGGTCGAGGAGGGGCCCGGCGCGCACGAAATGTCCGAAAAGGGGAAGAAGAAACCGCCGAGCCCCGCCATGGGCGGCATCGGCGCGGCGCTGGCGTCCATGGGGCGTGGCCTCGGCGCCATCGGCGCCAACGGCCGGTCGCTCGCGTCGCCGAACCGCGCCGACGGCAGCAGCGGCAACAAATCTGCAGAACGAGGTAAGGGAGCCATGTCCTCGGTCAACTTTGGTCAATCCGGGTCGGGGTCGAAGCAGTCCGCGCGCGTCGTCGGCCTCACCGGGCTCCCTGACCTGGAGCCGGCGGCAACATGCCCTTCGTCGTGCCGGACTATTCGCCCGGGCGGGACGCCTTCTGACAACCTTCAGACTGAGTATGGACTTTGGAAGCTAAGCGCCTTCTCGCAGCACAGCCGCCCAAGGACGCCTGCCGTCCCTCGACCACGTCAGCCCGAGCTCGACGCCCGTGCCCGATGCCTCTTCGGTGCACCGACGCAAGTCGCACGGACCAGACTTTGACTTTGAAGACACGGACGTCAACACGTGGGCGCCCGCGCCCAAGGCACCGCCCGCGGCGGCGGCCGTGGATGACGATTCCGGGGACGATTCGGACGATGGGCTCTTTGCGATTCCGATTGCCAAGAAGCAGGCGGCTGCGGCGGCGACGCGTGTGTTTGACGGGGGTGACGGTTCAGATGACGCCATGTCGAGGAGGCCGACGCTCACGGTGAACACGAGGGCCAAGAAGGGTCTATCCGTGGCCTTCACGTCACCCAAGTCTCTGAGCAGCGCAGGTGCAGGCCGTCACGGGGACGAGGAGGACGAGCTGCCGAGCGCGCGAAGCGGGCGCAGTTCGAAGCGCACGCCCAACACGCCGGCGAGCGACAGCTGGGGCTCAGAGGACGGCAAGCTCAGCAGGCGCAAGTCGTTCGTTGAGAAGGACGTGTGGGCGAACCGTCCAACGGCCGAGGCGCTCATCAACAACCTCGACGACTTCTTCCCGAACCTGGATCTCGATCTCCCCGTTCTCGAGGAGGGCGCTGCAGGCGCCGCCGGCAGCAGTAGCGAGGACGCGTCTCTACCGTCGCCAGGTAGCGAGGTGGGACGTAACCTCGGTCACAGCCAGAACCAGAACCAGCACCAGAACCAGAGGGCGCGAGCAGGTTCGCAAAACACGCAGGCGCCGCCCAACATACCGGCGGCACTGCCGTCTTCACGCGTTTCGTCCATCTACAACGAAAACGACACGCTGGGTTCGGACGAATCGACACTCAAGGCGCTCGAGAGGCCGGCGTCGACCGTCTCAAGCGTTGCGCAGAGAAGCATGCGGCGCTCGGGCGGACTCGGACGGATGAAGTCGATCCGTGAGGTCGCGCGCGGCGCGCACGAGGCGAACAAGCGCTACACAACCACGTCGCAGGCGAGCACGGGCGGCGGGCTCGACAGCTCGGCGCTGATGCGTCGCAAGAGCACCAAAATGTTCAACGCCAACATTGTGCAGATCCGGCCGGACCAACGGGGCAGCGTGGCCATGCCGCAGATTCCGCAGGACACGCTGCCGAAGCGGCAGACGACGTTCCGGTGGTTCAAGGGTCAGCTCATCGGCAAGGGCACCTACGGGCGTGTGTACCTGGGCATGAACGCCACGACGGGTGAGTTCCTCGCAGTCAAGGAGGTCGAGGTCAATCCCAAGGCGGCAGGCGGCGACAAGAACAAGATGAAGGAGCTCGTGGCCGCGCTAGACCAGGAGATCGAGACGATGCAGCACCTGGATCACGACAACATCGTGCAGTACCTGGGCTGCGAGCGCAAGGAAACATCCATCAGCATCTTCCTCGAGTACATTTCTGGTGGCAGCATCGGATCGTGTCTGCGGAAGCACGGCAGTTTCGGCGAGTCGGTCGTGTCCTCGCTGACGGGGCAGATCCTCAACGGCCTGGCGTACCTGCACCGTGAGGGTATCCTGCACCGCGATCTGAAGGCAGACAATATCCTCCTCGACCTTGATGGCACGTGTAAGATTTCGGACTTTGGCATCTCTAAGAAGACGGACAACATCTATGGTAACGACAAGAGCAACAACATGCAGGGGTCGGTTTTCTGGATGGCGCCTGAGGTGATCCGTTCCGAGGGAACGGGATACTCGGCCAAGGTAGACATTTGGAGTCTGGGCTGTGTAGTGCTCGAAATGTTCGCCGGTCGCAGGCCATGGAGCAAGGAGGAAGCCGTAGGCGCCATTTACAAGATCGCCAACGGCGAGACGCCGCCCATCCCGGACGAGGTCAGGGAGACGATCAGCCCGCTGGCCATTGCGTTCATGCTGGACTGCTTCACTGTGTGAGTTTTGCTGTTTTGATCATCTCAATTCATTTGCTGACAATGTGGCCAGGAACCCCCACGAGAGGCCTACGGCAGATGTGCTGCTCTCGCAGCATCCCTTCTGCGAGCTGGATCCAGGATACAACTTTTTCGACACGGAGCTGTACGCGAAGATTCGGGGCAAGGAGTTTTGAGATTGTGCTGGGCTGCGAGCGGGTCCGGTGCCAGGATCTGGGTGTGACTGAAGGATTCAGCGCGGCGTTTAGAGGCGATGAGTTGTTACCAATGGTTACCGGGATACAGGCTGTCTGCTTGTCAAGGATGTACATGATAGAGGTCATCCAATCGTGGTTGATACGGCGTCCGATTGTAGGATATATGACATGATCGAGCCTCTGCCTCATGATGCATTCGCATGAATATATGGCGATGTCTGACGATTCTCGATGGAGGTTCACATAATTGTATTGGCAAGCGATGTTTAAGTGTTCATTATCGTTGCATCTGAGCAAGGGGACGTGCCGGGTTATCACACGAGAAGGCCGGATCGATGGTAACAGCCCGACGTCGTAGGGCCTCGCAGGGGCGTAGTTGGCCATATGGCCTCCAGCTCTCTCCACTTCAGTCAGCGTCCACTTACCCCGCAAAGACGAAAAAGGGGGGGAGGGGACAGAAATCTCGAGGAGCCAGAAAGGGGGAGCCCATGTTGGAGAGCTGGAATGGTCCAACTCGATTAGCGGGTCAGGGTCAGGGCGGGGGATAGGGAGCTCTGGGGGCGTTGGGATTTCCGGGTTCCGCTTCTTGTCTTGTCTCGCCCAGGTATGGTGTCTCGGCGGGATATGGAGGAAGAGAAGAAGAATGGTGGTCTCTTAGGAGAGAAGCATCCGGCAGGCGTGTTGTTCTCATTTGGGAGGGGGGCGGACTGTTGATGATTCCATGGCATTTGCGAGAACGCGATGCATCTCCTTGCGGCTACGCCGGGAGGGTGATGTATTCCTCAGGATGGAAAAGAGGCAAATTGGTCACGAGATGCATCGGCGGAGGCACATGCCTACCGTAAGGAACCTAAGGTAAGGTACCTAGGTACAGCACCTTAGTGCCTAGTACCTGGCTACTTTACGGTATGTGCAGATGAAATGGGCAGGAAGCACCGGCCCAGGCCAGCCAGCGCGGCGGAGAAGCTGAGGCAGGCAAGCAGGGGCACCTGCTGAGGTGCCAGGGTGCCTACCTAGTAGGTAATAACAGATGAAATTCACAGACTAAACTACATCGGGAGGCTAGTGCTAGTGGTCTCTCTCGGAGCCAAGGTGGGTCGCATCACTGCAGCCTGAGATAACCTTACCTCTCTTTAGCTACCACCAACCTTAAGATCGCCTTACCTGTCTACCTCTACCTAGGTAAAGTAGTCAATGCACTGCCTTTGACGCAGTGCAACACAGATTGACTTTCTAAATTGGCCTTCATATCCAATAGCAGCAGGAGGAAAGGCGTCACATACAATCGGGTAAAACGGAACATGGAGCGACACACAAGAAGGGACACGGGCAGAAACAGAAATACATGCGACTCGACAAGGCGCTTGGCATGACCTCGTGTGCCGGATCGGAAGGAAAAGTCAATCTTGGCACGTCGGTGACGGTGGACTGGGCCAAGCTCGCCAGTGTCGCTAGGCCAGTGTCGCTGTTCCTCAGGTGTCTCAACCCCTGTGAATTGTTAACGACTGCGGTGATCAACGGCTCCCCCACCTCTTTCTCCCCTTGGACTTTTTTAGGGGCCAGGTCAAGGTCCAGCATGGTCCAGGCAAGCCAGGCCAGCCAGGCAAGGATGGAGGCAAAGAGGCCACAGGCTCAGGGTCTGATCGACCACTTTGCATGTGGGCAGGGTCGATCAAGCCGTCCCCATTCCTTCCCGCCCGTCGGTCGCCCTTTCCCGCGCCCGATGCTCTGGCTTTTTTTTTTTTGGCTTTCTGGCATCTGGCATCTTCCTCCTGCTCTTCGCTCCTTGCTCCTTGCTCCTCGCTTCTTGCTCTTCGCTCCTTGCATCTCACTCCTCGCGCGCAATCCTTTTCATTGTTTGGAGAGTCCATTGCAAGCTCAGCATGACTGTGCAGTAGATTTCGCCTTGTCATTCTGCCGCTCATCACGACCTCCCGTCTTGGCACCCCAGAGACCGGCGGAGCTCTCGACTCCGTCCGCCCACAGTGACGATCCCTCCTCGCCTCTGCTCTCCCTCGCCTCTGCTCTCCCTCGCCTCTGCTCTCCCTCGCCTGTCCGTCTCCCCGCCACGCCAGATCTCTGTCACCATGGTTCGCCGGCGAAGTCGCGTCGTGCTCCTCGTCGCCGTCGCCATCGTCTTCCTCCTCTATCGCGTCTTCCAAAACTCCGACTGGGACCCCGCGCGAGCTCCCACGTCTCCCAAGACCAACATCCCCGCCGGCCACAGCCACCCCGTTGAGCACCCCTTTGAGGACGAGCACGAGCAGAACCCCATTCCGCCCGCCGCCGCCGCTGATCAGAAGGCCGACTCGAAACCTGTTGTTATTCCTGATGCCGACACCAACCCTCTCTTGACCCCCGGCACCGGTGATGCTGCTGTCCCCGAGCCTGAACCCAAGCCTGTCGGTCTCGCCTCGCCACCCGCTAATGACCCTCCTCGCGATGATCCCTTCAGGGACACGACCAAGACCGGCCCTGCTCTTCCTGAACCCGACACTGGCAAGCCTGAGAAGTCTGACCAGGTTCTCCACCCTGAAGAAATTCACATCCAGAAGCCTCCCAGCCGTCAGCCTCAGGTCACCGATCCGACCGATGCCTCCAAGACACAAATCCATTGGCGCAAGCAGACCGAGCACTTCCCCGTGCCTACCGAGTCCATCATCCCTCTGCCCACCGGCAAGCCCAAGCCGTTCCCCAAGATCCAGCACGTCTTCACCCCCGAGACTGAAGCGGCTGCCGTCAAGGAAACGCGCCAGAAACGCCTCGCGCTCGTCAAGGCCGAGGCCAAGCGCTCTTGGGATGGGTACCGCAAATTTGCCTGGACTCACGACGAGCTGTCGCCCGTGAGCGAGCGCTTCCGTGACCCCTTCTGCGGATGGGCTGCCACCTTGGTTGACGCCCTCGACACGCTGTGGATCATGGGTCTGAAGGACGAGTTCAAAGAAGCTGCCGAGGCCGTTGCTGATATTGACTTTACCTACAGCGACAAGCGCCGTGACATACCCGTGTTCGAGACTATTATTCGCTACCTCGGTGGTCTGCTGGCCGCATACGACGTGAGCGGCGGCCACGAGGGCGACTACCCTGTCTTACTCAACAAGGCGACGGAGCTCGCCGAGATCCTTATGGGCGTCTTTGACACACCCAACCGCATGCCAATCCTGTACTACAACTGGATGCCTGACTTTGCCTCGCAGCCTCATCGTGCTGGCTCGGGCAGCATTGCTGAGGTTGCGTCCATGTCGATGGAGTTCACGCGTCTGGCGCAGCTGACGGGGAACAACAAGTATTACGATGCCATTGCGCGCGTGACCAATGCTCTGAGGGACCTCCAAGAGCGTGGCACATCCATCCCTGGCCTCTTCCCCGAAAACCTTGACATATCGGGCTGCAACAAGACGGCTACGGCCGCGCGCAATGCACTTGCCGAGGAGAAGGCCGAAATGAGGGGCCAAGGAGGAGGCTGCCAAGCTGCATCAACCCCAAGGTTACGTTCCGGGCCAGGACGGCGTCACTGCCACTGACCATGCGGCGGAGCCAGAGGATGATGATGGGTCTGCTCTGCCCAAGGTCGTCGCCCCGGCCGCGATCAAGGCCGCGGATGACGCCCCGGCTGTTGAGAAGGAATCTGCCGCAGGGAGCCAAACAGCTGCCGATGAAGAACTTGCCGTGGGCGAAGTCCCGGCTTCCAAATGGTCGAAGCCTGCTGGCGGAACGCCCAACGCCCCTGAGGACCCAGCTGTAGCTCGCCGTGCCCTCCCAGTGGATCCCGCTGGCGATGTCCAGGCAGAACTTGATCCCAACAAGAAGGACAAGAGCTTCCAGACGTCCGACGACTTGCCATCCTACCCCGGCTCGACCACCGGAGACGAGCGATCGCAGGCGCCTATCGCCGCTGACGGCAAGTTCGCCAGCTGGGGACTGTATTGAACAGGGTATCGTGCCCAGTAGTTACGGTTACGAACAGTACAGCATGGGCGGGCAGCCAGGATTCGGCGTACGAGTATTTCCCCAAAGAGGACCTTTGCTCGGCGGCCTGGCCCCCGAGTACAAGGACCTGCACATTGGCACAGTCGAGGCTGTCAGGAAACATCTGCTCTATCGCGCCATGGCCCCCAAGGATAGAGACGTGCTCTTCTCGGCTAAAATCGTGACCTCGGGTGACGTTGCCACTGACGCCCGGCACGAGTACGAGGTCACGCATCTGACATGTTTCCTCGGCGGTATGTTCGGGCTCGGCGCTCAGATGTACGATCGTCCTGAGGATCTTGAGATCGCCAAGAAGCTGACAGACGGTTGCGTGTGGGCCTACGAGTCGATGCCGTCCGGGATCATGCCCGAAGGGTCAAATGTCGTTCCTTGCGCCTCGATGGAGAGCTGCCCATACAACGAGACCCTTTGGTGGCAGTATCTCGACCCGTCGGCAGAGTACCGTGACAACAGCGTCAAGGAATGGGAGGAAAAGCAGGCGCAGAAGCAAATCAAGCAGGTCGCAAAGCCGGCCGAGGACGACGAACAGGGTCAGCTGCGGGCTCAGCAGGAGGAGCGCAGAAAGGCCGAAGCTGCTGCGGCCGCCCCAGACGAACCCCCGACGGCACCTGCTCCCGGGACCGAGGCCGGGGCGACCAAGGAGATGTTCAACGACGATGCGCCTCGCAGGCCTATGCCTGTCGATGATGAAGTGATGATCCAGCCAAATTTCGACGAGGAGGTGAAGCTCCCCGAGTTTGATGACATCAAAGTTCCTGAGGTCGAGGTACCTGTGGTCGAGGCGCCCGTGGTCAATGTTCCTGTCGAGGAAGTGCCTGTGGCGCCAGCTGGAGATGCCCATGAAGGGCATGTCCACGCCAAGAGGGCACCTCCCCCCGTGGAGGACCCGAGCAACCCAGGCACTATAGACACGCTGGTAACCAAGCAAGTTCCTCCTACAGACAACACGCAGAATGTTGCGGGTGGCGTCATCGGGCAAATGGCCATCGACGACACTACGGCCCTCACGCCCCCAGCAGCACCAGCGACGATCCCAGAGCGGCCAGACCCCAAGCCTATGAACCATGAGGAGTTCGTCAACAACCGCATCGAGACGGAGCGCATCCCGCCCGGCTTCTCAGCCATCAACCACCGCCACTACATCCTACGGTACGTTTGATCCATTGCTACCCGACGCGAGTGTATTACTGACAGCCACAGGCCCGAGGCCATCGAGTCCGTCTGGTACATGTATCGCATTACCGGCGATCCTATCTGGCAGGAAAAGGGCTGGCGCATGTTCGAGGCCGTTGTCAAGGCCACGGCCACGTCCATCGGCAACAGCGCCATCGAGGATGTGACATCGACGCAGCCGACCAAGAACGACGAGATGGAGAGTTTCTGGCTTGCTGAGACACTCAAGTACTTCTACCTGCTGTTCGCGGATACCGATGTCATCAGTCTTGATGACTGGGTGTTGAACACGGAGGCGCATCCCTTCCGGAGGCCCAAGGAGTAGGGTCAAATAATGTAACGATGCATGGGTGGCGTTTGGTGTTGGGATGGGGTGCATAGCCTCTGTTGAATTCAATGTTTCCGCCTCTGACTTGGTACTTGTCTGCGGTGCTAAGTTATGTCTGGCCTTGTGGTGTTGAATAGAGGCCATCAGTCTGCAGGTCTCCCAGACTATGCATCGTTCAACTCCGAGGTAATCGTCATGACCCTCAGGTGACACTGCCTGTTGATACGACCTTGCTGACTTCTTCTTCCCGCAGATGTAATAACATACCCGTAGCTCTCGTCCTCCGCTCAGAGGACTAGTAGGGCCTTGTTGCCGATCTGCCTAGTAACAACATGGTCGACATCGATAACGCACAGCCTTGCCTGCCATATCTGGATGAACCTAAACTCAGGCGTCGGACAATAATAAATCTAACCATGTGATCCTGGTGTGCAACCTGCTTCTCTTGGCTACGTAGCGGGGTAAGGCTGAGGCAGGCAATTCAGCAACGTAGTCGTCACATCCATCCCAGCTAGCAACTCTCATTCGAGGCATCCTTATCTTCATATCACGGCGCTACTACCCAGTGAACCATGAACACGCTGCAACAGCATCATGAGGACCCAGGATCCAGATCGTCCTCAGTTCCCATACTGCAGGGTACTATTCCCTGCCATCGATTTACAATTGCCTGGATATGCGCATTGCACATCGAGAGAGCGGCAGCACGGGCGATGCTAGACGAAACCTTCGAGTCTGCGCATGTACTCGTTCCCAGCTCTGACATCAATGCATACACGCTCGGTCGTATCGCGCAGCAATACATCGTCATTGCCTGCTTGCCCGAATCCCAGTACGGGACCAACAACGCGGCCATTTTCTTGACCAACCTCATCAGGACGTTTTCCTCCGTGCGAATGGCCTTGATGGTCGGCATCGGCGGTGATGTGCCAGGCAGGACAGACATGCGCCTGGGGGACGTCGTTGTCGGAACAAGAGTCATGCAGTACGACATGGGCACGATATCCGACAAAGGGCGCTTGAAGCGCACGGCGGTGGCGAGGGTGATGGATCTGCTCCCGGGCACTACGGTTTCTTCTCTGCGATCGCGACCACGAGCTGCAGCCTTGCCGGTTGCCAGAGGTCCTGCGGGACGGGCTTCGCCAGCTCCCTGGATATAGCCGGCCGAGCACGCCCGGTCGGCTCTTCTTGCCGACGTCTCAACACGAGCTTTCGGAGAATTCTTGCGACAAGTGCGACGAAATAAAGTTGGTGGCTCGTACAAAGCGGCCGTCGGAAGATTTTTGTGATGCCTTACGGGGCGATCGCTTCAGGTAACCAGGTGATGAAGAACAGCACGGCTTGAGATGAAATCGCTCGAGAACTCGACGTCATTTGTATTGAGATGGAGGCCGCCGGGCTAATGGATGTGCTGCCCTATTTCCCGATACGTGGCATCTGCGATTACTCGGATTCTCACAAGAGCAAAGAATGGCAGAGACACGCCGCGGCAGAATCCAAAGAAATTGGTGTGCTACAACGCAGAGTTCCCACCAAAGACGCGTTGCGCAGCTCTTGGCCGCGTTATGCGGCGTCGGATATTCTATACCTTGTCGCGTCCAAAGGGCTTTCCAGACTGATGCTTGTGTTCCACTATTTTGAAGATGCTTCTCGCGGCTTGCGAGCGTTCCTGGGGGAGCTTGCGAAGAGCCCACCCAGTGGTTTTCTACAGATATCTAGGTTACTACTTTCCGATTGGGCATTACCATATCTCCTGTCGGCAAATTTGATGAGAGAAGTTCGAGACAGTACATTGCGAGGTCATTGCCTGCCACCACCATCGTCTTTTCTCGTATTTATTCTCCGGCTTTCACAATCACTTCGTCTTATCATGCGACACCTTGATCACGGGCTGGTACAGTTTCCGTTGCCACCGATACCACAGCCCTGTCGTGACAAGAGTGACCGGGACGGCAAAAGCCCAGTATATCCAAATCTTATTCGAAACGCTCCACTCTCCAGTGTCATCATCGACGTTGAAGAAGGACATGCTGAAAACAGCAGAGATGAACGTGGCCGGGAGGAAAGCCAGCGTCAGGAACGAGATGGTCTTCATCGCGGCACTGTCCGACTGCGCAGCCCGGGCAATCTCGACGCCGGTGCGCGAATCGTGCTGCGCGACCGTGTGGAACGCGAGCTGCATCTCGTTGTCGAGCCTCTCCTTGTTCGAGGCGGAGCGGCAGCGGAGGCTCTCGAACAGGTGCTTGAAGAACTGGAGCCGCTGGTGGACGTGCCTGTGCGTGAACCGGGCGCCATGGGCCGCGGCGGGGGCGGCGGCCGAAGGCTCGTCGGCCAGGACGGCATGATGGGCCAGGGTGCTCTCCATGGACACGACGCCGAGGTCGAGCGTCTCGCAAATGTGAATCGCGTGCCGCGCAAGGTCGTGCAGCCTCTGGTAGTCCGGCGACGGGTCCTCCCCCGTGCGCTGCTTTTCCAGGTCGCGCACGTAGGTCCGGAGCGACCAGACGGCGTCGTTCTGGACGCGGACGACCTCCTCGGCGAGGCAGAGGTGGATCAGAAAGGGGTCCCGTAGCAGCTCTCTCGTGACCGGCTCCAGGAGCGGCTTCGGTAGTCTCTGTTCGAGCTCTTTCGGCGCATCAAAGATGAGGACGACCGTCTGGTTCGGCGTGGCCGACCACCTGACGACGACGTTGATCTTGTACCACGCATGGTGAATCTTCTCCTTGCCGGCGAGTTGCTTCACGAGGTACCGCGACCAGGTTGCTTCTATCGTCAGCATACTCCCCCTTTCTTCCTTCTGAAGCGAAGCAAACGTACTGACTGTGGCGATGTTTCCCTCATCATCGCCCGTGGTATCGCAGCCAAAGTATCCATTCGACCGCTTGCTGTAATCAGACCACCAAAGCTCGGGAATCAGAAACGCTTTCGTAAAAGCACGCCTGCACAGGTGGCAGGAACGGGTTCTTTCGGCATTTGCTTGGCTGTGAATGCATAAGGTAAGCAGCAATTCCTAAGTCGTCAGAAAGGGAGAGGAAGATCCGGGGACGCACATGACCACCAGGGGAGACCTCGGGAGCGCCCGTCTTGCCACGCCGTCCTCCGCCGCAGCAAACAACGTGGAAGGGTTCAGCCATTGTTTCTGCCATGGGCAACCTGGTACATGTCAGCAGTCGAAAAACCAATCGTGACAACCTGAGGCGAACCCTACCCTCTTCCCAGGCCAGAACGTGCAGGCTGCGGCAGTCGTGCTTCTCGTTGTCCATCATTGCGTCGCGAAGCAGTCACAGGAAGAGGTCATTTCATGCTCGCGAATTTCCAACATTGTAAAGCTCGAGAGGGGTAAGATTGCCACGACAACCACGACGGGAGGTCGTCTTGTCGAGGCTGTGCGCTGAATTGAGGGCGCGTCGTTGGGGGCCACGGCGCCTATTCCGCCAGTGAGATTGAAGGTTGTGCATCACATCCACACTCTCGTGGGGGAACATTATGAAACCTCACGTTACATCAGTTGGTGAGGGTAGCGGTTTTTGGGGGGGGGGGGAATGCAGATTTCATTCTTATTCTCATCTCGTTCCACACTTTCGTGAATCAGATCACATATACTCCTACAGTCGTTTCAATTCCCAAGCCTCGCCATTCCCAAATGTCCCCAGATCCGTCGAGGCCGCGCATGATCATCGTGGCCGCAAGATACCATAGTGAAAGGGACGCTGAAGTGACCCCACACATGCGTGTCGTTCCACGGCCGAAGCCTCTCTATCAAAGTCGCGCTAGGGGGGTGGGGGTTGGTGATGATTATGCACGTTTCCCATGCTTTCAAAAAAAACACAAAGACAAAAGCAAGCCCAAGTTCCCCAAAAACGCCTGTCCCGATGCTGGCCTTTTTACCCCATTCCTCGGTTGCCCCATGTACATCATTTCCGTGTCTGCCTGGCGCCGCGGAGCACCCAGCTTAGTCCACCATCTGGCTCAGCACGCGGATCGAGAGGATCATGACGAGCAGGCCGATGGTGACGATGATGAGCTGTGCAAAGCTGAACCAGCCGAGCACCATGGCGCTCGTGCCGACGGCTGACCGGACGGCTCCGTTTCCAAAGTCTTGCGCTATGACCGAAGCGGCGACTGACGCGGTGTGCTGCCACAGGACGGAGACGAGTACGAAGATGGAGGCGATGAAGATGATGGCCAGAGAGATTTGCGAGACGGGACGGGACGGGAAGGGCTTGACTTCGCGGTCGGAACCCTCCGAGTCCTCCTCTTCGTGCCAGCCGGGGAAGGTGGCGAGAAGGAGGAAACAGATGAAGGCAAAGATGATGGCGATGATGCTGCAGAGATGGTTAGATAGTGCACTGGCGAGAGAACAAGAGCGGCTTGCTTACATCAGGTAGGGGAACACGACCATGTCCTTGAACTCGCTAGCGAGCCAGATGAGGTTCAGCGGATCCTGGTCGACCGAGACCTCGTTGGCAAGAGACGTCGCATTGTTACTGCACAGCCAACTGCCACCATCGGGCGAGATGCAGATGCCAAAGTAGCCGACACGGGTAGCGAGGCGCGCGTCACCAGCAATGTTGCTGATGGCCGTGTGAACGTTGTAGTCGACCTGCGCCGTGTCGGGGCGGGCCTCGTAGTTCTCGTAGTAAATGGTCAGGAGGAAGATGTCAGGAATGAGCGGCGAAGAGGATGAGCAGCCCGCGAGAAGAAGCGCTGGAATCACCGTTAGCTGGTGACGTTTGGTCATGGAGGCGGGGCTGTACGTACAAAGCATAATGATAGCGATTGCTATCAAGATCATCAACACGTGGTGGTAACCGAGAAACGGTATGAACCCTGGGAAGAGAGAATGCGTCAGTCAGCCGGTTCGCAGAGGTGAGGAATGCCATGCTCTCGCGTGGCACAGGTAGGATCACAACGTACGGTACCATCCCACTTGAAATTTTGCCATGGCGGCAATTTACGTGAACGCGCGGCTCGAGGAGGACCCCCCCCTTCTTTCCCTGATCGCTGAGCCCTCTCCCCGTTCTCCGTTCTGCGGAGCAACGGTCGGGTCTGGGTTGCGCGCAGTGCTGGCAGGACACTCAACTCGACAGCGAGATGAGCTTGACGGTGGGGGGGTTTGCCGATGGAAGCACGGTTCGTGGGGACGAAGCGACGTGGAATGCGGGTATCTCGTCGTCTGTCGTCTTTCGTAGACTGGAAGGGTTTGGTGTCGAAGAACGGGGCCGCGAGGAATTCGGAACGGCTCGGATCGACCTAGATGTAAGGGCGAAAGAATAGACTTGTCAGACCAAAAGAATGCACCGGTCCTTTGGGGCTCTGGAATGATGGATGGGATCTTTCTTTGTTCGGCTCTGGTATGGAGAAAAGGAAGAGAGGGTTTGGAATGGTGAAGTGAGGGTCGAGGGAATGGGAGGGTGTGACTTAGTTTTGCGTGGGTTGTCCGGAAAGGCGAGCTCGAGCACGGCTTGCGCGGGATGGCAGTGTTGAGTAGGTTGATGGATGCTAGTGGGCAAGAATCAAGATGGCTGGAGAAGAGGGTGGCACGTCTATGAGGTATCGGCGGATCGACATACGTGGTGCATCATGGTAGCTAGGCCAACCTCCCGTATTTACTTTGCTCCGGTTGTGGTTGGCCTGGAGACGGGGGTAAAGGTGGGGCGCCATCAGGGCTGTGACGTGGGATGTCCAGCGCGTTTCACTACGGGATCCACTGGTACCTGAGTACAGTACCTAGGTAGGCTTGCTAGGTACTCTCGATTTGGCAGGGGTCCGGCTGCGCGGTTCGGCTTGGGCACCAGGCTTGGAACCAGGCTTGGAACCAGGCTTGGAGCCAGGCTTGTAGCGCCAGGCTCTGGGGGACCAGGCCGCCCCATAGTGGTTGCGTTTGTGACCAGCAGCCGCGTGCCTGCATGCTCCCAATTCCGCTGGCCTCCACATCCGCGCCTACCGTTGGACCCTACCTGCCTGGTAGGTATGTACCTTAAGGTAAGGTACGTACGTATAGGTATCTAGGTCGGTACCTACCTTACCCATTATTTAGGCCTAGGAACATCGAAAACACTTTCCTCCCCCTCTGTCAACAGCACCCTGGGCGCCCGCTGACCCTGGCCGAGAACATAAGAGGAACCATCATCCATGGCCTCTTAAGCTTAATTCCCAGGTTTCCTTGCTTTCTCCCCTCAGACGCCTGGACGCCTGGACGCCTGGCGATGACCAACCCATTCCGAGCGGGGAGCTCGGGGCTTCATCAAATCGAGCATCATCGCCACTCGCTTCAGTCGTCACGACAACAAGCAGGATGCTGCCACCTTCCCTTCGTGTCTGCCATTCGGCTCTGGCAACCAAGCAGTCGTCGGCAGCCATTGGGCTTTCAGCTGCTGCCTAGCACTTGGCTGCAGGCGCGCAGGCTGTCCGAATTTACCAATAGATCAATCAAGCACCCATCCTTTTGCAACAAGCTGCCCTACAAGTATTCAACCTCGGTAGAGGTTCGCTCTCAATTCCGTTCTCATCATGTCCTCATTCAACGGTACCAGTATGGTCCCCGTACTCAATGCAGGCATCAAAGGGGCCTCTTCGATGTCTCGAACCATGACACCACCCGTCTGAAACATGCCTACGCCGCCTTTCGAGATGTTCAGAAGCCCGCCTTTATCTTTGGTAAAGATGCTCTCTCGACACGCGTCAACCCACTCGAGTCTGATGTCGAGCGAGTTGAGCTTGCCGAATTCCTTGTTCCGCGTAATCTGGGGATCGCGCCAATGTACCATCTTGTAGAGTTGGTGCTTGCCATCGAAGAAGTCGACCTCTATGACAACTTGAATTTGGTGGTTCTCAAGAGGTACCCTGTATCACTGCTCTGCCGAGGCGACTTGGAACCCATCTATGGCCAATGGTTCGAGGAGATATTCGACAGGTTTCAAGTGCCGATATGCCCCGAAAGTACGCAACTGCAAAAGCATACCTTGGCGGCTTCGTGAGTAGCGTAGAGATGAACACGACTGGTCATGTAGCCGACAGCCGTTGTGATGCGCATGTTTGAGCGGCGGCAGGATTCAAGGATATTGATGACTCGATCAAATGCCATTAAAATAGGCGAGCCCGTGTACATGCAATGTTGCTATGCATTGGCGTAGGGCCCGGAAGTCTGTGCTGCCGTGACATGATCTTCGCGAGATGCCCGAAACATGCTTTCGTCGAGATTGAACTTGTGTGTTATCGACATGTCATCGAGTCCTCACTTTGGGGGGCCACCATAGCGGGGGCCAGCCTGGTCATTCGATACAGTATGCAGGCATGAGCCTATAAAGCTTGGGAGACTGTAGGTCATGACGGCCTCCTCTGCAATTTCGATTCCTTGCTGAAATGACCTGCAGACTGAACTAGCTACCTTTTGATGATTCGTCGTCTTGGATTCGCAGCAGCAGCCTTCAAAGAGGAGCTTTCCCCGGCCGGGAGAAACGGTACACTAAGTGGCTGGCCTGTACAAGTAGCACAATGGATGTCAGCCTGCACATCCTAGGGCAATGTAGGGAATATGAGTCATGCTATGACCCCTGCTTCCAACAACCATCCGAACTGGTGTATCGGTTAACATTTGTCGCTTTCATTCGAGAGTGCCGACAGGCGCAGGGTTCGACTCCCTGGTTCGGAATCTTTTTGTGTTTTGTCCCTTCTGTTTGGCACTGATTCTTTTGCAACTCCAAGTCCGAGGCATCTACAATTATAATTCTCTTGAGGCAACTGGGATCTGCGATGCCCTTTGAGCCATAGTCTTGCCCCATGGTGCGTGAAGCGTATGATGCGTTCCTCTGGCCGAGGAGGTAGTTGGCGAACCCTGCCAACCTGCCAATCGAGATCCACGACAAGTTATGTCTTCTGAAGTAAACACTTGTATGAGCTGGATCACTTGTCCACAGGCTAGCAAACAGTCAAATCTCCGACAAGCAGTACCTATCTCATGGCAAGGAACACCCGTTTTAGCGGCCTTTCTCCTGGCCTCACATCCTCTGTTCTCCTTTTTAATTGATTTCGGTTGCGAATCTTTTGGTTCACACGTTCGACAACATTGATGGTTTCCAGAGACCGTGTGCTTATGGTGTCATGCCGAGTTTAGCTGTCCCGGGACTCAATGAAACCGAATTTTGAGGTAGTCAATCTACCTTAAGGTACCTTGACCTTGTGGCAGGACACCCACACCGGTTGGTCCTGGTGTTCCCTGGCCACCCGTCTATCGTTCTGCTGACAATGAGTCGCGACTTACACATACAGAACGACACCAGCCTGCGGAGAATCCAGACAATGAGCAGGCAAACCTCGGGCAAGTGGTGCCTGCCTTGTGGCAGGGAAAATGATGAGCATAGACAGATTTCCTCACCTCGCTGTCTTTGACGACGCCAACTGTCGTCTGCGCACCAGATATTTCGTTAATACGTCTTCCTCGACCACAGCCTCTGCCTGACTTGGCACACACTCATTACGCACCCAAGCTGCAACACCGTCAATGAATGTCGGATCTCCTCCCTTCATAATGTGGTCAGGACCCTCGACTCCACAGACGTTTGACTCCTTCGGCGCAGCCACCGGGCTTGCTTTACACGAATCCATGCAGAACAATCAAAGCACGACCAGTCACTCGAAAGCACACATCTTCCGACAATACGTCGTCCCTGTGATCCTCTGCGTTGGCGTCATCAGCACGATGGTACACAACATCTAGGCAATGGTGGAAGGCGTCGGCAGACCGGGTAGTGGGGGTTGCTGCTGCAATTGTTCGGCGCCGACATGAAGGAGCATGCCGGCTGGCGCATCGCGAACATGGCATTCAAAGATCGAGGCATCACTGGGTACCAAGCTGGGATCAATCGCAGGACTTGTATGGGGAGATGCACGTCCTTGGATACGCAGTGGAGCAGTTGACAATACTTAATCAGTATCCTTCTGTTTCCGTGTCTGCACTATCGACAGTCTTTGTGAAGTAATTGATGAAAGGTTACGACCTTGTTGCTTGTCATGTGTAGGTATTGTCATTAGACCTGGCCCGAGAGGCCATGCCCGGCTGCGGATCAATGGGAGACCCGCCTTTCCCCACCTGGCAGTCAAACCACCATCGTCATCCCTCCACGTCAAGCTTTAGCTCCAGCACAGCACACATACACACACACACACACACACATACCGACGCACTCACCAGAGGCCCAGCAAGCATGGCCGCGTCAATAAAGCAACAACCCCTGAAGGGGGCGCAAGGGCTCGACATTCGTGTTGAAGACTACCTCGACGACAAGCTCCAATCCACTACCGACTTGGAGAGCCTCGAAACCCTGCTGGCCAACGTCGAAACCCAGCGCAGCCAGCTCCAGGCACAGCTCGACAATGCTGTCAAGCAGCTCGACGAAGCTCGCTTCACGTCCCGCGACCGCCAGACCTCCCTCGAGACGCGCATCCAAGACTTTCAGGAGCTTCAGCACAGCATCGACATCCGCGTCAAGGTGGCCGCCGCATCGGATGCACCCAACCAGGCGATCGCCCGCCTGCAGGAGCCCATGAAGAAGCTGCGCACCGTCGAGCTGGCGCAAAAATATCTCGTCCTCCTGCAAGATGTTGACGCCCTGCGCAAGGAGGCCCGGTCGCATCTGCCAGAAAGCCCAAAGGCGGCGCTCGAGCCGTATGCGCAGCTCAAGCAGCTGTCGGTGCGCCTGGCCGAGCTGTCTGGCATCGCAGACGACGCGGCAGTGCACCTCGTCAACTACGTCGAGACGGTCACCGAGACACTGTGGGAAGAGATGAAGAAGACCATGTCGGCCGAGCTGGACGCCATCCTGGCGAAGAGGTCCTGGCCGATGGGCGTGGAGCCCAGCGCTGAGATGGATGACGAGTGGCTGCAGGGCTTTGAAAAGTTGATCGACCTTCAGATCCCCGAGGTCGTGTACAGCACGGAAACTGTGACGTTGCTGCCCTTTGACGTCATGTGCAAGATGTTCATCTCCGAGTTCCGATACCACTTTATGAGCGACAAGCCGACAAGCAAGCCCGAGGCTCTGGGAACGCACTGCTTCCCGTGGTTCCTGGCGACGATTGAGAAGTGGGAGGATTTCTTCCGGGACAACCTGGGCCACATGCTTGCCGCCAAGCTGAAGGACACGCCGGCGGCAAACAACACGGTCTACATCGACCCGGTGTGCGCCCTCGTCACGACAATGCTACCTGTTCTTCGGGAAAAGGTTCACACTGTTGTGGCCGACGCTGTCAACGTGCCTACCTTCCTGAGCAGCCTGATCGGCCAACTCATGACGTTTGATGACAACATTCGCGCCAGGTTCAGCTATGACGGAGGCAACTCGGAGGACGGATGGGCTGGCTTGACCACCGAGGTCCTGGACCAGTATTTCGAGCCCTGGTTCGTGGCAGAGAAGGAATTTGCATTGGAGCGATTCCAGGCCATCATGGCTGCGCCAGATGCCCGAAACATCGACTACGACTACACAGGCAGCGGAAAGACGAAACCGACCCATGGCGCGACCCGCGTCACTGATCTGCTGCGATCCATTACCGCGCAGTACGAGCGGGCCAGGAACTTCAAGCACAAAATGCGCTTCCTCATCGGCATACAGCTCGACATCCTCGACGACTTTCACGATCGGCTCAGGGGGTCGCTTGAAGCCTACCAATCCATCACATCCGCCGTGGGCAGGACGCTGCATGGCGTGACCAAGGAGCAGCTGGCAGCGCTGGAGGGAACGGGAGCTCTCGAGACCCTGTGCAAGGTGTACGGCAGCTCCGACCATGTTGTCAACACGCTGAAGGACTGGAGCAACGAGGACTTTTTCGTCACGTTGTGGGACGAACTCCAGACGCGGGCGAAACCCGGCAACGAGCCTGCTGAGATTGCTGGCGACATGAGCTATGAGGAGGTCAAGGACCGAACCTCGACGGCCGTCGGATCGGACAACGGGGACGGCATCTTGTTCGATGAAACGATAGCCGCCTATGCGTTGAGGAGAAAGGCAGCGCAGGACTTCCTCGTCGGGGCCTTGTCCAAGTCTCACAATGATGCCCTCAAAGCATACTCGACGAAGGTGCAGTGGACGACAATCAGCGATAATGGCGCCGAGGGTAGGTCACCTGTGCTGTGCCTAGCACCAAGAGCGAAGACTGACCTTTTGCCAGTGGATTCCTTCCAGCTTGCCATCACAGCCGAGCTCGACGAACCCCTTCGTGTCAGTGACAGAAGCCTACTTCCACGATGTGCTTGCCTCTTGCTGACAGTCTCAGATTCTCCGTCAAAACCTCGACTTTCTCGTCAAAGCTCTCAGCACAGCCGCGTTTCGACGCACGTGGCGCGCAGCCCTCGATAAGCTGCAGGACTTCCTCTGGGGCGAGGTGCTCATGCGGCAGACGTTCACAGCGCTCGGCGCGGCGCAGTTTCTGCGGGACCTCAACGCCATCCTGTCGCTCGTCGACCGGTACATCCCCAACGGCGTGGGCCCGCTGGGCAGCCTGCATGACGCGCTGCGGCTGCTCAACCTGCCGGTCGAGGCGAAGTCTGGCGGCGGCGTGTCGCTCAAGGTGGCGACTGACCGCATCTTCACAGACAATACGGAGGCGAAGAAGATGCTGGAGGCGCTCGAGATTGACTCGCTGACGCCCGCGAACGCGAGACACATTTTGCAGCGGCGGCTGGAGACGAATGAATAGTGTCCGCCTTTTGAACAAATTGAAGAAGAAAAAAAACTGGCATCCATGTTGAATATGTACGCTCGCCATCTGTATGACAGCCCTCAGGACGTGACCGCGTCCGTCTTTCTAAAAGAACATGGTAAACGCCCCGTGTGATGATTCTTCTTCTGTCCGGCACCTCCCCCGCCATCGCTTGATCCTTCCCTTCGCCTCCAGGGTAGCGGTGGCATGGCTAGTTGATGAGGCGCATCGTCAGCTCGACCGTCGCAAAGGTCGCGGCGCTCACAGGCATGGCCCTCAGCAGGGTGGGGGCGATGCCCTTCCAGAAGCCGCGCAGGCCCTCGGCGCGGTACGTCTGGGCGAAGCAGTCGCGCATGGTGGCGTAGCGCTGGGCGGGGCCAAAGCCGTCGGTCTGCATCTTGCTCTTGACAACGTCGAACGGGTAGCTGCCGAGCCAGAGGGCCTCGCCGGCGAGGCCGCCGTAGAGGGCGACCTTCCAGCTGGGGATGTCCTTGCGGGCGACGGCGTTGCGGGCGGCGTCGGCGTTCATCATGTACTCGAAGGACAGGAACCACATGCCGTAGGCCTGGGCCTCGCGCAGCAGGGTGACGGCCTGGCCGCGGTAGAGGCCGCGCAGGACGCCGGCGTGGGCGGCCAGGGCGCGGACGCAGTCGAGGGGCCCGGCGTAGAGGCGGGCGGCGCCGTGGGGCTGCGTCTGCAGGCGGATGCGTACGTGCTCGATGGGGCCGGAGAGGGGCGCGTTGGCGAGGCCGGCCAAGGCGCCGGCGGCGTAGTACTGGGCGTACGACAGCGGGCGGCCGGCGTTGCGCGCCTCGAGGTGGCGGCGCGCCTGGTGGAAGGCGCCGAACTGGATCGACACGCAGGCGCCGATGCCGACGAGCGGCGTCAGCGTGCCCTTGTAGAAGGCGAGCGGGCCCTCGTTCCTGTAGATGGCCGTCGCCGCCTCGAGGGCCGACGTGTGCGCCGTCGACGTCTGGAGGCGGACCTTGACGATGTCGAAGGGCTGCCCGACGAGGACCTGCGTGATGCCGCCCGCGGCGCCGGAGAAGAGATCCTTGGCCGTCTGCAGAGCGCCGCCCTCGGGCTCGGGAGCCCGGTGCAGCTCGACGTCGTTCGCGGCCGTCGCCATGGTCGCTTTGTTCGTGGTCTGGTCGATTCGATTCGATCAAGCGCGTGCTCGGCCCTGGCGAACCCCTCCCCAACGTGCTCGGGCGGGCGGTCAGAGGTCGTCGAAAGCGAGACGCACGGGGGAAAGTCCCAGGCGATGGTTCGCTGGTCTGATGGCTGCAGAAGGGTCGGGAAGCGGGAAGCGGGAAGCAGAGGGAGGAGCTCAATTGACGTCGACGTGTCACGATTGATCTTTTTCCTGGGGGTTTTGCATGTTGGTGAGAAGGTGTGAATCAAGTGGCCGGAATCGGGGTTCCTTATCTTTTGGAGCAGCACAACTGTGGTTACCTTCGGTGTTGGGCCGTGGCGCATGGTGGGGGTTTGCGATCCACGAATGCTATTGCGTGCTGGCGCTAGCGGAGCCACGAGCTGAGGAGCTGCTCGACACCATGTCTTGCTTTTAATTCATTGCTTTCAATTCATCGACGGCAGATCAGTGGCACGGCTCGATGGGAGCTACTGTCATCATTGTATCACCCTCATGAACAGCTTCAATACCGCCGGACCCCCTTCTTCTCGCCCGCCGCCTGCTCCTGGGCCTCGGCATGCATCGCAATGGCCTCCTTGAGCTTGCCAATGACCTCTGGCTGGTTGCTGAACGCCGTCTGCAGAACCTCCTCGAGCTCCTTCTCGACCTTGCCAATGGGCTTGACGCCAGCCTTCCTCGCCTTGGCATCCATCGTGAGGCCACCCCACCGCTGCGTGAATGCCACGATCGACTGCCGCAGAAGCTCGTCGAGCTGCTCGTTCATGTCCTCCACCGTCAGCGACCCAGCCGTGACCGCGGGCGGCGCCGCCTTGGCCGACGACGACCAGAAGGAGGAGCCCACAGACCCGACGCCGCCAATGATGCTGCCGAAGAAGCTGACCCAGTTCTGCGGGCTGAGCGTGTTCCAGATCTGGCCAAAGTGCTGGAGCGCGGCGCCGTCGCCGCGAATGTCGCCAATCTCGAGCGAGAGCAACTCGTTCTTGATGATGAGGAGATTCTTGATCATGAAGAGGTCGGCGTCGGTCCCGTTCTTGATGTACTTGATGCGCGCCTCGGCCCGCTGCAGCACCTTGACCGATTCACGCACAATGTTGAACACGACGCGGTTGTTCTTTTGCTGCGACGTGTTAGCGTCTCCTCGAGCGATGCAACCAAAAAAAAAATGAAAAAAAAAAAATGATACGTACACTGCGCTCCTTGGGCATCGTCTGGTCGTACATGGCCAGAAGCCCCATGGCCTTGGTGACGGCGGCGTAGGCATTGGACGCGGACACGCCGTCCACGACGGGCTTGATCTTCAGTCCCTCGTCGTCGAGCGCCATCTTTGTAATGGTCTTGGTCGTCTCGGCATTGAACATGTCGTCGGTGAAGACCCAGAGATGTTCCGTCAGGATCCTGGCGCTCAGCTCCCTGCACTGCTGGGAGAATGGCGACTCCTCCTCGTCGTAGTCCAAGACGAGATACTCGTTCATCAGCCAGGCCACAATGTTGCACACTGTGCGCAGCTCCTCCGTCTTGAGCGCGGCGCATAGGTTGGCGGAGAGGATCGCAATGTTGGCCGGGTTCACGGCGCCCTTGGAGGCCGACTTGAGAGCCTGGTACGCCGACGCGGGATCAGAGCTCCACTGCAGATCCAAGCCAAAGATTCGGTGTACGAGGCTGTTCTCGTTGTACGCCCTCTCAAACGTCTGTTTAAGGTAGTTTCGACACCCCGTCTCCACCGAGAGGTCCTTTCGCTCCCTCGCGAATTCTGCCACGTCCTTGTCCGTCATGGGCTTCAAATCGTCGTTGCGGACTGCCAAGTAGGTCGAGAACAGATTGTTCGCCGTGTTGACGTAAATGTCGTGCGCCGTGCCCGAGAGTGGCTGCCCGTACTCATCAAAGACGTTGCGCATGACCTTGTGGATGTTGGGCAGCAGAGAATAGGTATCGGCGATCATCTCAGCAAAGCGGCCGTACGCAAGAGCATGGCGGGTAGCCTCGGACTTGGACGCCGCGATGGGTTTGGCGATTTCGTCGGAGATGTTCTTGAGCCGGTTGCTGAGACCGACCTCGAGCAGATGGAGCGCTTTCGTGAGCTGGGATTCGTATCGTGCGAGGTAAGAGTCGGCGTCGCGGTATGTAGGCTTTTCCCCCCACCCCGAGTGTTAGCATGCTGGCACTTGAGGCATGCTGTGGAACATACGTGTTTGGTCATAAAGTCGATGCATGAGTTGAGATTGTCCAACACCTCGCCGAACACGGCGTCCTCGACCAAGCGACCGGCGCCAGGCGCGTTGAGCCTCCGCGTGACATTGTCCAGGTACGTATAAAAGTACAGATCGGTGCCGACCTCGTCTGCGAGCTTTTGGAGACGCTTCTGCTCATCGATGAGGTCCTCGCACTGCGACTGGAAAGAGGTGGTCTGGGTCTCGACCGCCTGGAACGAATTGGAGAGCGTCGTCAGGAGGTCGAGGGACGCGTTCGTGTCGACAATGAGGGCGTCGAGGTGGCGCTCGGTCAGCTCCAGCTGGTCTTTGTAGATGCTTTCAACATGGTCAGCCGGGCTTCTGTGGGAGGGACGGAAGGTTAGGAGGGACGGAAGGTTGGCTCATACAGGTACTCATGCTGGCTGGCCTCGAGCAGCTGGTCGTTGTATTGATCGAGAACAGGCCGCCGCGGGACTGGCATGTTGTCGACATTGGCCGCAAGCCAGTTGTCGACATTGGCTGCAATCATCAGTGCCTCGAGGCTCTTGTCTTTCCTCCTCTTGCGGTCCTCCCTCTTCTTGTGCGCGTCCTTGGCGAGCTGGGCGCGAACGACGTGGTAAAAGTCGGAGTAGGACTTTGCACGGCGAGCCAGCGCCGGCTCTGGCGGGTCATTGTTGTCTTGGGGGTCTTCGAGGAGCAGGCTCAGCGGCTCTGGAGCTTCAGAGGGCTGTATCGTTCCCTGGGAGGACTGTTCAGAACGGGCAGTGTCGTGGTGAGGTGAGCGAGGGGGGAGAGACAAACGTTGGGCTGCTGGAGGAGGGACTCCTTGCGCCGGTGGCCAGCATTCTTGACGGTCGAGGCAGCAGTCTTGGCGACCTCGGGTACAAAGCTGTACCAGGAGTCGTCGTACATGTTGGCAGGTTCTGCAGCGCGGAATCGACGGCAAGCAAGGCGAAGGCGATGCGGTCCAGGTCGGTCATGACCTGCTTCGTCCGTCGACGTAGTGTCGGACCAGGTGTTCTTGTCGTGTTGGATCGTCCACTGTTGGTGGGGCGCTTGGGGCGCTTGGGGCGTTGAATCAGTGGGTGGTCCCCTGAGAGACCCGACGGCTCCCCATTGGACTGACAGCTCGAAAAATGGAGCATCCCGCCGTGGGGAGCTGCTTGGGCCCTGCAGGGATTCTAGTCGCGGACTGGATGGAGGCACGCGTCGGTCTTTTTTGGTACCTACCTACCTAGGTAGGCTTGCTAGGTACTTAGGCTGGCGAAAGAGAGAGCAGCTTTCTCGGATGACCTCACGACATTTTAGCCAAGAGGGGGTTCCTTCACCCAGCTACATCGTCCTCGCCATTACACAAACACCCATTCAACACACCAGAAATTGGCATCATTGTGAGGAGGTCCATCATCGAGAAATAGGCTCTTCTTTCGGCTGCCACATTGCCAATTCGTCGAACATCATGAGGGCCTACAGAAGTACCCTCCCAGCCTTGCGAGCAGCAGGGAGACCAGTCACCCGGACACGGCAAACATGGGCTCGTCACGCCAGCAACCGCTCTCGCCCCCATCCTCAAGAAGGAGGCAGCGTGAAAAGACTGGCTGGATTCCTGGCCATTTTTGCTCTGGGCGCTGGCGCCGGTGCCGCGTACTACTATCCCGTCCTGTTCCCCGGCACCGACGCCGAAGCAGTCAAGCCTGTCATCCCCAAGGCGCAGATCAAGTTTGAGAAGGAGCGGCAGCAGGCGACGTCCAAGGAGCACAACCGGGACATCATCAGCTCGCAGCACGCGCAGGTTCGCCAGAGCTGGGAGAACCCCGGCGTGTATGCTTGGGGCTCCAACTCGGGCAAGGTCGTCGACCAGCAGTCAAAGGAGACCTACGTCAAGCTCCCCAGGAGGATCCCTTACTTTGACGGAAAGCTTCTGCGGGACGTCAAGCTGACGCAGAAATTCGGCGTCGCCGTCACCGAGGAGGGCAACCTCGTGCAATGGGGTCTCGGCTTCTCCCAAGTCGACCCCAGCCCCGCCGAGACGCTCAAGGGCAAGAACCTCACCAAGATCGCCGTGTCGGACGACCGGATCCTCGCTCTGGCTTCCAACGGTGCAGTCTACGCCGTGCCGGCCTCGCTCGGCGACCAAGACACGGCTGAGAAGGCGCAGGCCCGGGCGCAGCAGTCGTCGTCGTCCTCCTCCTCCTCCTCGTCGTGGTTTTCGTTTTGGAGCTCGGGCGCGAGCGTCCTCGAACCCAGCACCATTCGAACCCTGACGCCGAGCGGCCTCTCCCGCGGTGAGAAGGTCGTCGACATCAGCAGCGGTCTGCAGCACGCTCTGCTCCTGACCTCCAAGGGCAGGGTCTTCTCCGTTGCCTCGAGCTTGTCCGGCTTCCCGTCCGTCGGGCAGATGGGGGTGCCCGGCCTCAGCTGGGCGACGCGTCCCGAAGGCGCGTTTGACCAGCCGCACGAGATCTTGGGGCTCAAGGGCTTCGAGGTTGTCAAGATTGCCACGGGCGACAAGCACTCGGTGGCGCTCGACAAGGACGGCAAGGTGTTCACGTTTGGCGACAACACGTTCGGCCAGCTGGGTCTCCAGTCCGAGTCGGGCTTCCAGAGCATCGACGTGCCGTCTCTGATGCCCGTGCCGCGCCTCTACGCCAACACGGGCCTCGTGCCGAGGGTGACGTCGATCGCCGCCGGCGGACTCAACTCGTTCTTCACCGTCGACGCCACGCCGCCGGCGTTCACGGGCGACGGCAAGACGGCGCGCACGACGGCCGACACGTGGGCCTGCGGCAGCGGCATCCTCGGCACGCTGGGCACGGGCAAGTGGACGCACGTGTCGTCGACGCCCGGTCAAAATCAAGAGCCTGTCGGGGCTCAGCGAGTACGACGAGGTCACGCACGAGGTGGTGCCGATCCGGCTGGCGGACATATCGGTGGGCAGCACGCACGCGGCGGCGACCATGGCCAACGTGACGTACACGGGCACGACGGCGCGGGGGTCGGACAACGACACCAACTGGGGCGCCGACGTGGTCTTCTGGGGCGGCAACGAGCACTACCAGCTGGGCACGGGCAAGCGGTCCAACGCCAACGCGCCGACGTACATCCGGCCGCTGCTCGACGGCGGGGCGGCGGGGGATTTCCACCGGTTCCAGCTGACGCCGCGCAAGACGGTCAGGCTCGGCGGGGACGGCAGGGGGCGCAAGGCCAGCGTCGAGCAGAGGGTCGCGTGCGGGCGCATGGTGACGGCCGTGTACTCGGCGGCGTAAGGACGACGTACTCGGCGGCGTAAGGACGATGTACTCGGCGGCGTAAGGACGATGTACTCGGCGGCGTAAGGACGACCGTGTACTCGGCGGCGCAAGGTTTCGCTCTTCTGACCATCATCTACGGGCGTGACCCGTGTGTACCATGTATTGCATGTATGATAGACGCTGTTAGGCGCAGGGCACGGTTGTGTCTCTTGGCTATGTCCTGACAGCAGACCCTAGGGGCAAAGGACGATAGGGGCACGGGGGCTGTTCTTTGATGGAGTCGTTCTTGAACCATATTCTGGGGGGCTGTCCAATCAAGCATCTCGACTTTTGCTCCAGTTGTGTGCGCGTGGCATGTACGTGATGGCCAGTGTACTGGCAACAAACGAGTACGAGTACTTGATGGGTGTGGGCGCAAAGGGCAAAGGTTTACCGCAGGCGAGTGCAACGCAGACGATCGATAGAGGCCACGGTAGGTTTTGGGACGAATGCATGGAAGCGTCTGCATACGACCCTAGGAAGTTTACCATGCTGTCGGAACCATGCTATGCTGTCGGATAAAATAAAAATAGAGGGTTGACATGCAGCGAGCTGAGGCGTCGATCTTGGGCGTCTCACGATCCGAAGCCTTCATGTACCTGCTACCCGGTACGATACAGGTACCTTGGGTGGCGGGCACGCTGTATGCAGCGCCTGGGCGATGGCCAGCACGCACGTCACCCAGGAGGGCCAGTGGCAAGCAGTGCAGGCTCAGAGGCAGTCAAGTGAGTGCAGCCATGCAGCCATGCAGCGTTCCAGGCGCTCGGGACGTGGTGGCCCGGCTCTTCAGGGGCCTCGTCTGGTGGACCGCCGCTGTGGGATCGCAGGTGCCGCTGTGGGATCGCACTGTGGGATCGCAGGCGCCGCTGTGGGATCCGCGAGGCGCCCCTGCCCCTGCCCCCGCCCCGGCCCCTGCCCTCGCCCTCGCCCTCGCCCTCGCCCTCGCCCCCGTGCACACGGACGTGGGCACGCCAAGATGACATCGCGCCCAATCTGGGTTTGCTGCCCCGATCAATGTGCCCATCTCCGAACGCTGGAGCTTGTGTTATTTCCAATCATCCTCCGCCTCCGCCTCCGCCTCCGCCCCCCATGTCCTTACGTACGTATGTCCCTGCGACAAGTTTTCTACCCCTGGACCCGGACCTGGACTTCAACCTGGCCAGACAAAGAGCGAGACAGCGTCCTGGGGGAGCGCGAGGCAGCCTGGGGAGCCAACGACCTGAACGTGGCGAGATCATCTTGCATCGATCCCTCCGCAACGCAGCCTTCATTGAGAGTCTTCTCCCTCTGGGATCAACCTTCACACGCCCGCCGCGGCATCTCTCGTCACAGCACGTGCCCCTTGGAGATCCTCTGACACTCCTCCGCCTCGCCAGCCTTTCGAAACTCGGCACTGTTCCTGGCGGCCCCCGAGCCTTGCGATCGACATTGATTTACATTGTCGCTTCTCGATCTCGCGTTGACCCGTTCTATCTGCACGACCCGTTCTATCTGCACGTCCCGACCTAGTCCATCCTTTGTGTCTCACGCCACTCGACGACCAGCTTCCCCCTCAGCCTTGCCGCCAACGAACCCAAGTTCCCGCCACCCCTTCCGCCGCAACCATCCGACGCTTCCCTCGACTACTCCTCAACCGGCGGCGACCCGGCAGCCTCTGCCTCTGCCTCTGCCTCTGCCTCTGCCTCTGCCTCCCTCCCACAGCGCCCATCACCACCCCGCGCGCCGCCACCATGGAGATCCCCAAGTTCCGCCGCAAGCCCAAGGCGCCCACCATAGCCACCGACCCCAAAACCCTCACCCTCACCGTCCCCGACGCCGCCGAACCCTCCCCGACGAGCAACGCCATCCCCCTCGCCGTCTCGGCGACAACTCCCGGCAAGCAGGGCAGCTTTCGCAAGAGCGCCCTGCGACACCTTCGCTCCTCGGCCAAGCGCGCCCGATCCCCAGCGCCGCCGCCGCCGCCGCCGCCGCCAGCCTCCTCCTCGCCCCCTCCGACCTTGGCTTCGACCCGTGATGGCCTCGCCGACGCCATGCCTGCGTCACCTGTCTCCCTGCGGCACCGCGACGGACTGCTGGCGGAGTCGCCGGAGAGGAGCAAGCTGAGGATGCCTTCGTTCCTCGACTTGTCGCAAGAAGGTACTGCTCCAAAAAAATCTGCTTCCCAACGGCAAAATCTCAATGGCAAAATCTCTTATTCAATGGCAAATCTCAATGGCCAATCTCAATGGCCAATCTCAATGGCAACGCTGACATGCACCCAGGCATCCACTCGAAATTCCAGGATCTCACTTGGACCGAACGCAACCGCCTGCACAACGCCATGGCCCAGGAGGCCGCCACGAATCCCGACTCGACCTACCGATATGCCGTCCATAAGCAGGTCGACATGCGCCGCGGCGTCATGGACCGCTACTGCAACATCAAGCCCTACAACCGCAACCGCGTGCGCCTGCGCGTCCCCGACGGCACCCTCGACTACGTCAACGCCTCGGCCGTCGTCCTGCCCTCGCCGCGCAGAAGCCTCGGGTCGCCCGCCCCGGCCCCGGCCCCGGCCTCGGCCCCGGCCCCGCTGCGCTACATCGCCATGCAGGGACCCGTCGAGAACTCGGTCGACTCCGTCTGGCGCATGGTCGCCGAGCAGTTCGACTCGCCCGTTGTCATTGTCCAGCTGACGACCATGTTCGAGAACGGCGCCATCAAGTGCTACCCGTACTTCCCCATGTCCGCCGAGGACGAGCCCTGGATTCTCAACGAGGACGACGCCTGGGACGACGGCTGGGGCGCCGAGCTGCGCTTCGACTCGATGGAGACGCTCGAGGACGGCGCCATTGAGCTGCGCAAGCTCATCCTGCGCGTCGCGCCGCCGCCGCCCCCTGCCGCCCTCGCCCCTGACGCCGGTGTCGACGCCGACGACGCCGACATTGAAGTGACGCAGACGGGCCTCGCCGGCGCCCGAGCCCACGGAGCAGGTCATCTGGCACTTTCTCTACACGCGCTGGCCGGACTTTGGCGCGCCCGCCCTCGAAGACCTCGGCAGCTTTCCTCACCATCATGCGCCTCTCGCGCGACTACACACCGGCGGCAGCAGTCGGCAGCAGCAGCAGCAACAGCAACAACCTCTCGGACACGGACTCGACGTCAGCAGCCCCATCCGGCCCGCCCCCGCGCATCGTCCACTGCAGCGCCGGCGTGGGCCGCACGGGCACCTTCATCACGCTCGAGCACCTCATGCGCGAGCTCGACGCCGGTCTCCTCGAAGCCTACCCGGCCGCGGCGCCCGACCTCATCCACGCGACGGTCGAGGCCCTCCGCGAGCAGCGGCCCAGCATGGTCCAGGCGCCGCCGCAGTTCCTCTTCCTCTACAGCGTGCTGCGGCGCATGTGGCTCGAGCGGGCCCGCCGGCGCTCGCGGCGGCCGAGGGGGGCGCGCGCGCTGGTGCTGAGCGAAATACTGACGAACTGGGCAGCACGCCCGTCTTCTACAAAAAGGCCAAGACGACGAAGAAGGTCATCCTGCGGGTGGAATGTGTTAAGTGCAAGACCAAGCTGCAGCTGGCGCTGAAGCGCTGCAAGCACTTCGAGCTTGGGTACGGCCACCTCCTTCCCTTTCCGCTCCGTTTCCACGAAGCACGAGACATCGATGCGCGAACACGGCTAACATGCTTGGATTTACAGTGGCGACAAGAAGACGAAGGGTGCGGCTCTGGTGTTCTAAATGCATTGTGGTTGTGGTCAACCGATTTCATGGCTGCTTTCCTACACGGCACGGCAAA